TTAATCTTGGTGCCTCTACTTTAAATTTTCTCCTATATCTCATTGCCTTGGCTTGGCCTATGACTTACTTTCTTTGGTGTCACAGCCTACTCTTAGTCCAGTGATTTGGAGCTGGAGGGAAAAGGGTCATTGGATACCAACAGACTGTGGAAAATAGTTTTTTTTGTTTTTTCTTTGAGACGGAATTTCACTCTTGTTACCCGGCTGGAGTGCAATGGCACGATCTCGGCTCACCGCAACCTCCGCCTCCTGGGTTCAGGCAATTCTCCTGCCTCAGCCTCCTGAGTAGTTGGGATTACAGGCACGTGCCACCATTTTTTGTATTTTTAGTAGAGACGGGGTTTCACCATGTTGACCAGGATGGTCTCAATCTCTTAATCTTGTGATCCACCCACCTTGGCCTCCCAAAGTGCTGGGATTACAGGCATGAGCCACCGCGCCCGGCCGGAAAATAGTTTTTATAAGAAGGGTGTGAGGGCCGGGTGGGAATGGTTTGGCATTTCCACATTAGGACTGCCATCCTCTACCCTGTTTATTTTTGTTTTTATTTTACTTTCCCCACAATCACATTAAGTAGTTTCCAGCCAAACACAATCTTAAACTTTTTTGTAAGATACACTCTCATCTTAGACTTGTTTTTCATTACAATTTTTTTGTGTGAATATAATCAATTTATTTATTTATTTATTTATTTGACACATAATAATTGCATATATTCATGGGTACAATGTAATGTTTTGATACATGTATACATTGTGTAATGATCAAATCATGGTAATTAGCATATTCATTGCCTTAAACATTTCTTATTTCTTTATTGTGAGAGCATTCAAAGTCCTATCTTCTAGTGAATCACAAGGTCAAGAGATCGAGACCATCCTAGTCAACATGGTGAAACCCCATCTCTACTAAAAATACGAAAAATTAGCTGGGCATGGTGGCACATGCCTGTAATAGGCGGGAGAGCTGCCTTGAACCCAGGAGGTGGAGGTTGTGGTGAGCCGAGATCACGCCATTGCACTCCAGCCTGGGTAACAAGAGTGAAACTCCATCTCAAAAAAAAAAAGTAGAAAGAAAAAAAGAAATATACAATGCATTTTTATTAGCTATAGACATTCTACTCCACAAATAGAATACCATAACTTACTCCTCCTAACTGTAACATTCTTCCCATTGACCAGCCTCTTCCCATCTCCTCCATTCCCCACATTCTCCCCAGTCTCTGGTAACCAGTATTTTACTCTCAATTTTTATGAGATCAAGTATTTTAGATTCCATGTATGGGTGAGATTGTGTAGTATGTGTCTTAATGTGCCCAGCTTATTTCACTTGGAAAACTGGACATCAACATGCAAAAGAATGAAATTTGGCTCCTATTTCTTACCATATACAAAAATCAACTCAAAATAGATTAAAGATTTAAATGTAAAACCCAAAACTATGAAACCACTAGAAGACAATTCAGGAGAAACACTACATGACATGAGTCTAGGCAAGAATGTTTTTACACTAGACCTCAAAAGCATGAGCAACAAAAGCAAAAATAAACAAAAAGGACTACATCAAACCAAAAAGCTTCTTCACAGCAAAGGAAACAATCAGTAAAGTGAACAGACAGCCTGCAGAATAGGGGAAAATATTTGTGAATCATACACCTGACAAGGGGTTAATATCTAGAATTTGTAAGGAACTCAGCTCATTAGTAAAAAGCACAATCTGATTTAAAAATGGGCAAAAGACTTGAGTAGACATTTCTCCAAAGAAGGCATACAAAGGGCCAACAGGTACATGAAAAATGCTCAACATCATTGTATTAGTGTATTCTCATACAGCTAGTAAATACATACCAGAGACTGGGTAATTTATAAAGAAAAAGAGGTTTAATGGAATCACAGTTCCACATGGCTGGAGAGGTCTCAGAATTATGGTGGAAGACAAAGAAAGAGCAAAGTTATGTCTCACATGGCAGTAGACAAGACAGTATATGCAGGGAAGCTCCCATTTATGAAACCATCAGAGCTGAGACTTATTCACTGTCATGAGAACAGCACAGGAAAGACCCACCCTCATGATTCTATTACCTCCCACTGGGCCCCTCCCACAACACATGGGAATTATGGGATCCCAAATTCAAGATTTGGGTGGGGACACAGCCAAACCATATCAGCCACTAACCATCAGAAAAATGCAAATCAAAACCACAATGAGATATCATATTACCCCAGTTAGAATGGCTACTAACAAAAAGGCAAAAGATAATGCATACTGGTGAGGATGTGGAGAAAGGAAAACCCTTATACACTGTGGGTGGGAATATAAATCAGTACAGCCATTATGGAAAACAGAATGGAAGTTCCTTAAAAAATTAAAAATAGATCTACCATATGATTCAGCAATCCCACTACTGGGTATACATCCAAAGAAAATGAAATTAGATTATCAAACAGACATCTGTACTCCCATGTTTATTACAGTACTATTCGAAAACAGCTAAGATATGGAGTCAACCTAAATGCCCATCAATGAATAATGGATAAAAAGAAATGTGGTATATATACACAGTGGAATACCATTTAGCTATAAAAAGTGATGAGATACTGTCATGTGCAACAACATGTGTGAGCCTGGAGGACATTGCATTAAGTGAAATAAGTCATTCCAATGTTGGGGAGGGGGTTTCTTTTTGTTTTTGTTTTGAGACAGGGTCTTGCTCTGTTCCCTAGGCTGGAATCCAGTGGTGTTACCATAGCTCACTGCAGCCTCAATCACCTGGGCTCAAGGGATCCTCCTACCTCAGCCTCCTGAGTAGCTAGGACTACAGACGCTCATGACCATGCCTGGTTAATTTCATTCCAGTACCTAAAATCATGATGTAGAACTTATATTTCATTTATTTATTAATATCTCCCATATTCTCCTCTTTTTCCTAAAGTGAATCAATAAAATTATCCCCTATTTTCCAAAATGTATTAGTTTTCCTCTAATGATATTATTCCCAAAGATATTTCCTCAGTCTCCCTGCAGGTGCCAGCATGACTGGGTAGCGGTCTTGGGCATATGCCTGAGAAAGATAACACTATTAGCCCTCCTTGGTTTATTGTGGTTGCTTTAGGTTCTACAACAAGGAATTACTATCACGAAGATATACCAATACCCCTCCCATGGTAGGTATTTGGTATTCTTGACCTACTAGGACTGTTCAATTCCTTTCCAGCATTTTTTTCTGCTTCAAGGAAGGAGTGGCCACTTCCCATTGCCCCTTCAGCAGGAATCACATCTGTAATGTGTGTCTCCAGTGGGCCAGCATGTTCTTTTTCTTTGTTACCTTCCTACACTCTTAATTTTGTGAATTGAATTTCAATTCTCCTCTCTTAAGATTGTTTTATTGAGCTTAGGATGAAGCCACTTTTCTAGAGGGTCTGAATGTACCTTTTAGGGAGGAAGGCTTCTATCTATTATGTATTTTTAGTCCAATAGAATGTCTTCACTTTTGCTTTATTTTGCCTTTTCATTCATCTCTCTCTTTACCATTGGATCAAGTTTTGGCCCTCTACTTTTAAAGTCAGGATCTTGTACTTTACAATTTTTCTCTTATATTATTGGGATCGCTTATACTTTTTTTGGCCTCAGATGCTCTCTCAGAGGCCAGATAATTTTTTTTCATGCCTCCTTATATTTGCAAGCATGTTAGTTAGCTAGATTACATTCAACGTAGTTTATGCTTTTGTCTGACAAGAAAACCAAGTTAGCTTTTCCTCTGTTTGTCATTGAACCAGTGCCATGAATTTTGATTGGTATAGAGATAACAAGATCAATAGCCTCAGAGGTGAGATGAACCTCTGTGATACTAGACAGGTTACTAAAACTCTGTAGGCCTCAGTTTCCTTGTCAGTAAAATGGGGATAATAACAATTCCTACTACATAGAATTGTTGTGAAAATTAAATAAGAATGTACTTACTTCTGAATTAATATGGGTTGAATATTTATTACATAGTAAGTGTTCAGTAAGTGCTAGCTTTAATTATTGTGATTACTTTTTCTAGGTTGTAAGCTTCTTGAAATTGTGAACAATGCATATGTCAAATGTTATTAAGCAGCTAGTACTTAACACAAGTTTATTATTATCCATTTATGTAATAGTTACATTTAGTGATAAGAATGGCAGAAAAAGAACCACATTGAAATTAAGATTATTGTATTTGGCTCGGTGCAGTGGCTCATTCCTGTAATCCCAGCACTTTCAGAGGCCAATGTGGGAGGATTGCTTGAGCCCAGGAGTTCAAGACCAGACTGGGCAACAAAGCAAGACCTCATCTCTATTATTTAAAAAAAAAAAAAAAGCCTATTGCATTTGATTCTGGTTTCATTATGTTACACTTCTTTAATTCCTTCAAGTTGATGAGTTGCACTTGTGCAGTTTTTTCTCTCCTAATGTGATTTTAACATTTTTCTTGAAAAATATTACTCATTTCTGAAAGTTCTTTTGTCTTTTTTTTTTTTTTGCTGGAATTCAAACTCAAATTCCACCAGTATTTTTAAGTGTCGTCTATGTGCCTGGCTCTATGCTAGGTGCTTGATATACCTAGCTATTATCTCCCTTTCACAGATGAAACAAAAACAAGGTTCAGAGAATCCAAGTGAATGGCACAAGATCATACAATTAGTAAGTAGCAGCTGAAGGAATGACAAATAAGTCTTAACCATAACCCAGTGAGAGAGAACTTCAGGAGCAATATGACCAAATAGTATGCAAGAATATGCAGAAAGAGCTGTTTGTTTTTCTTCAAAAAAAAGGGTAGGGAAGAGATCGGGGAAGTCTTTGTGAAGGAGATGAAATTTAATCTACTAGGTGGCCAGTCAATCAATAAATAATTGGAGTTGACTAATGCTGAAAAATATGGTTCCTTTTATTTCCTCTGTTCTCAGTTATGTATAGTGGTTTATGTTTATGGTATATAAGTGCCAAGTGAATAAATTACTATTAAATAAAAGATTAAATAAATGGTAAACATGAGGGAAAAGTGTTCTATTTGTGATATGCAGGTTATGAGTATATAAACAGGCTTTTAAAATATAAAGAAGGAGTAATGGAAAAAACCCATTGTCAAGGTTTTCATGACAGTACATGTGTCCTTTCACCAAGTTTAGTTACAGCTTTCATAATATAATACTAATCCTTGAAATGCTTGGTAAATATGCCAATTCTGGGTGCAAATGAATCCTCCACTTCTGAAGGCTTGGTGTGGACTCCGATTTAGATCTCCAATACATGTCCAGTGATTTTTGGTGCCCTTTTGGGAAATACACCACTTGGCATGATCCTGATAAGAACTGAAATAAGAGTGTCGTGATAACTTAATTGCTTTGATATTGTAGACATGGTAAGGAAAGGAGCAGTTTGAAGGAAGCTCTTGTCTTTTTCGCTGCCAGGTTTCTGTTAACAAGTGTGTCTTCAGCCGTTGAGCCATCCAGGCTGCAAAGATGTCTAGGGTTTAGGAGGAGAAAGATAGTGAGGTTGGTATTTACACTTAGATTAGTCCCTGAAAATATATTCTGGAATGGAAATCATCATTCACCCCTGATATGTGGATGTCACAAGCACAATAATAACAACATAATTGAGATAGTGGTTGAGAAACATTTTGTAAATGCTTAAGTGATGTGCAAATGAAAGTTATAATCATCATTGCTATGATGATGCTGGTGTTTGCAAACATCTTCTGTTCTATAAAACAAATTAAGCAACATAGGTCTTTGTCCTGGAAAGACCTTTGGAAAAAATTAGGCTAGAGAAGCAATCAGGACCAGTTTCTAGGGATCTTTGTAAATAATGCCAAAATGTTTGGATTTTCCTGAAGTCAATGGAGAGTGTTTAAAGAAATGTTAGTAAAGAATTAATAGAAACTGGTTTATGATCATAAGTATCAGCTGAGAGGCAATGGGCAGGATGAATTGGGAAGGATGGGTTAGAAACAAGAAAGGAAAACTATAAGGCTGTCACAATAACTGTCAATAAACACAGGTGTGACCCATGGCAGCAGTAGAGAGTGTGGAGAAGATACAATAAATGTGAGAGTTATTAAGGATCTGGAACTGAATGAATTTGATAGTTTGATAGAGGAGTGAGAAAAAGAAGAGATGGAGAATGACTACGTAGAAAAAGAAGAAATGGAAAGTGACTATATAGACTAAAAGAAGAGATGGTTGACTATGCAGAATACAAGAAAAAGTAGGTTTGTGAAGGATGATGATGAGGTGAGTTTGGCATGTTGAACTTCATATGGCTGTACCACCTTCAAGTAGAAATGTCTCACTTGTTGTTAAATAACTCAGTCAGTATAGAGGTCTGGGGTAGAGATCTAGACTTAAGAATCATTGGAGGTCTTGCTGGAATTGCCCAGCATGGGTATGTAGAATGAGATAAGGAAAGATGGGGGCCACATGGCAACTCAGTCACCTAAAGAGTAGTCAGAGGAAGACCTGGCAGAAGAAACTTAGAAGTGGGAGGAAGACTGGGGGTTGTGTATTCCCTAAAACCAGTGAAGGTGAGAGTTTCAAAAAGGAAAGCATTTCAATGGTGTCACATTCTGCAAAGAGTGTCTCTGTCCTTTCAAGTTTGAGATCTCTAGTGCCTAACACAGGGCTTGGCTAGTAGTAGGCATTCTGTAAATTTTATTCAATATATAAAGGAAGCTCACGCCTGTAATCCCAGCACTTTGGGAGGCCAAGGCGGGTGGATCACGAGGTCAACAGATCGAGACCATCCTGGTCAACATGGTGAAACCCCGTCTCTACTACAAATACAAAAAAATTAGCTGGGCATGGTGGCGCGTGCCTGTAATCCCAGCTACTCAAGATGCTGAGGCAGGAGAATTGCCTGAACCCAGGAGGCGGAGGTTGCAGTGAGCCAAGATCGCGCCATTGCACTCTAGCCTGGGTAACAAGAGCGAAACTCGATCTCAAAATTTATATATATAAAGGAAGGAAGCAAATAAGGAAGGAAAACAGTGAGGTCATCTAAGATAGCCATTGGTGCTTGGGGAGAGATTCAAGTGTCTACGGACAGAAGTAAGACTGCAGTGAAGGAACGCTGAGCAAGTGAAGGCCCTGATGAGCTTTTAAAAAAATAAATCTGAAGGAGAAGGAAAAATAGAGCTATAGATGCTTTAGAGTTGAGGCGGGGGGGTTAGGCATGTTTGTATGTTATGAGGAAGGAGCTTGATAGTGGGAAAGCTAAAATGGAACAGGGAGAACGGATCCCCTATGCTGAGGCTGGGATACGTTTCAGAGCACAGGGGGTGCATCGCTTCTTTGGGGATCGGGGGAAAACCCTGCAAAAAGGAAGGAGAACAGATAAGATTGTTGGAGAGGTGGGGGTGCCATATTGAAGTGGTTTCTCCCTAAGTGATTTTTATTCTATTTATGGAGAAAAGGAGGCTATAAGTGAGGGGGCAGAGTAGTGTAAAGGGCTTGAGAGTAAGGAAGCCTTAAAATAACTGCTCAGGGAATGGAAGAAATGGAGATAGCTATGACCGCATGCCAAGCAGAGGCTGGAGACTGAGTTTTCACTGGCCCTTGGTTGGATGGTTGTGAGATACTTTTGTGGTTGGCTCAGTAACCTGGCTATTCAAGTATCACAGGCTAATGTTGAAACTCATCCTTGACTTTCCATTTTCCTTTTCTGTTTCCTTTTTTCATCTCTCTTTCCTTGAATACTCAGAATATTTCTCTAAGCTATCCCTAATGAATTCAACAGCAGAGTTACATAGCCTGTTGTTTGATGATGGTCTTTCATACCGTCAAGAAAAGAATCAGACTTTGCAAAATGGAGGAATTTTTGTCCCTGGGCTGACTGAAGTGTGGTGAGGAGCCTGCTGGGACTCTCTGATGAGCTGGCCCTTGTACACAGCTGGGGCATGTGAATGAGCTCCTGGTGAAAGGTGGCCGGAATGAAACAGCTATAGACATTTGGGTTGCAGACCAAGAGCTGAGAATCTGAATCAAGAAACAATAAAAAAAAAAAAAAGTTGAGAGTTAAGACACAAATGGAAATGCCTGTTGCTATTATAGATCTTGTGGATTAAAAAATAAAACAACACAAAAACAAAGGCATTTCTTTTTTTTTTTAACCCTTGCAATATAATCTTCAGGTGTTTCAGGCATTTTTTTTTCTTTAAACCAATAGCCTTCAGATAACTTTTGGTTAAAATAACTGACACCTGTTAAGCACTTCCTAGTTTCCAGACATGGTTCTACAAGTTTTGCATGGGTTTACTCATTTAATCCTCACAGCACCATATTATCAAGTAAATTCTGTTCTTATCATTATCTTTACTTTGTAGATGAATTAACTGAAAATTTACATCATATACCCAAAATTATTAAGTTTGTAATTAATAATATAGATATTCAAAGCCAGGTAATCAAGCCTTGTAGACCATATATTTTTTCTTCTAAATGTACGTATACATATACAAAAGTTGAGAATCCATGTACCAATGCAACAGCTTCAAGAATAATTAGCTCCTCGGTATGTATGCCTAATCTCCATGATATTCAGCTCTCTAATCATTACATGATTTCAATTAGTGAGACTAGAGCTTGACTTGGGCGAGGATCACTATAGCTCAGTGATCCTTGCTATAAGATGGAAATTTGATAAAAAACATTTTCTAAACCTCCTATATCTATAGGCAAGTTGCTTCTCACTACTATTTAGCTACTAACCTGTTCCTACTTCTCCTTTCCCACCACAGTTTGCCAAATCTAAGTATTTTTTGGCTGAGCTTGAAATCTTTAAGGAAGATTATCTGGCTCAGAAGTGTCATGTTGGTAGCCTACAAGGAACATGTGGCCTGGAAAACTTAAAAAAAAAAAATAAGATTGAGCTCATATTTAGAAATGAGTTTTCTTCTCTCTCTCTCTCTCTCTCACACACACACACACCCTAGGTTTCTGGTACTTCATGGGAAATATGGAGATCTATAATCACTGGACTTGTATTCCTGTAAGGCTTTGAGGGAAGATAGGTGAGAATCAACACCTTAGTTTGTCACTATCCCCACTTCTCATGTAACATCTGACTGTTTCACTCATATATGTTATCTACCAGCCACCTGAATACATTTGAAACTGCTGCCCTGATCAAGTTCAGCAACTGCAGTGGTAGATTAGGAGCCAAAGCCCAGTAAGTGAGCCTGCCCAAAACCTCACCATGGCAAAGCCAGCGTTAGAGTCTAGGTATCAGAGGGTCTATGAATAGATTAACAAATGAAGTGACACATTTATGAATATTATTTCCAATTGCTTTCTCCAACACTGTTATCTCTTTTTTTTCTCACATACTCTAGTTTTACCTATTGCCTCATACTGGTTGTACTTGAAAGTTATGCAGATGCCACTTTGTCCATTTCGTCTCCCTGTGGGTGGATAATCATAGCCTTCTTCCAGAATTGGAGGAAACCGAGGAATAGAATGAATCAGCCAGAACCCTTGGACTTTGTTCCACAGCAGTAAACCTACCAAAGATACATTTAACAAAGATAAATCAGAAAAACAAAGCTTCTTTTAAAATAGGGTTCAAAGTGGCAACATTTAAGCCCATTTATGCTTCAGGCTGGTGTTTTATTAAGCTAATAATCGCAAGGATCATGCTTATTTTTCAAAGATTTCAAATACAATTCTGGCACATATCACATTGTCTGATTACTGATAAAAAGCCATCACAAAAAGGGAACCAATGTAGCCATCCTATGAAAAGTTAAGAGGAAATTCATGTTGAAATCACAAGGAAAATTTGTTTTGGCAGAATACAAATTTGCTAAATTGGAATTTGACCTTGTTAAACTATACAGTCACCTAGCAAGATTTAGATAGTGTCTTCACTGCTAAGCAGCTAGGCTGTTTTCAAAAGCCAACTAAAAAACAGTTGAAAGAGAAAATATCAAATGAAGAAATGTACTTGCAATAATTTGTTAGAAGAAACTGCTGCCCATTTATTGGCAGAAGAGTCACCACTTCTACAAGCCCAATAAAAGAAGCAAAGAGAGAGAGGAAAAAAAGGAAGTTATGCTAAAGCATCCTAGTTAATAACATTTGTAAAAATCTTTAGAGCAAAATAAATAACATGAAAGCCAATAAGGAAGAAAATAGAAAGATTTTTATAATTTTGTGACATAGCAAAAAGAACTCTGTGAAACAGATGTCTATGACTATTTCTGTGTTTATAAATTTATCAGGATAGGTTTGGTATGATAGCTAGACTTTCCAGTTTGCATATGACTATGCAAACATAAGATTCACTCATGTTTGCCTAATTGTTAGAGTAAAAACCAAATGCCTTCTAGTTATTTTTTTTTCAAAGAGCATATTTTAAGAAAGCATACTGTTGTTCTTCAGGTGGAAATAGAATCAATACCTGTGTCAAGGTGGAAAATATTGAAAGTTCTGTTATGTAACAGAACTGGATGACCTTCAAGAGTTCTCCTCTGTACAGAAAAGTGTGCCAATTTGCTGGAATCCTATCCTCCTGGTACGAACGCCATAGGATATTAGGGCATCTGTTGGCCAAGAGAACCTTTCCACTTGATCTTGCGCCCTCCTCCCTTTACAGCCATTTCCCCAAAATCTTGTGGCAGCTAGCAGGGTAGAGTAGAAATAGTGTGGGAGATTGTTGGAGGAGAAGTTGAAGAATGTAGCATCTTATGAAAATTGTTGGGTTCCCTGTAAATACGGCATTCAGGAGAGGAACTTTGCTAAATAAAAAGTTTTCAGTGTTCCTGACCTTTGTCAGCCATTACAAACTATATTCTAAATCAGAGGCTGTAAACTGGAATCCCCTGAGCCAAATCAAGCCTATGAATACATTTTATTAGGCTTGCAGAATGTTTTTTAAACTTTGAATTCAGTACCAACATTTAAAAAGTGGGGAGATTTTCCACAAATATTAATTTACAACATCTCCTGGAAAATTGTGTCCCTATCAGGCAACTTGAGTAGCAACTGCCTCCTTTCACTTGCTGACATCATTTGCCTGCTCCCTGAAGGCATTTGAATTTGGAACCTTCTGAATACTTGTTGCCATGGAAAGTTATTTATGACATATTAAATTGGAAAAAGGTTGAAATATAGTCATTACATTAGTTTTGTAAAATGTTTTAAAATATGTATTTTAGAAAAAGTGGAAAGGATTAAATATGATTAATTGGTATTAGGATTATAGATTTTTTGTTTACCTGTATTTTGAATTTTTCTATAGCATACAAACACATATGCAAAGTTTATAAGTAGAAAAATTGTAAAAGTATAATCAAAATTACTATATATGGTAATATAAGTAGCATGATAAAAATTAAAACTATTTAAAACAGTTTTTCAAAAATGTTTATTTCCGAGGGAACTATATATTAAGAGTTCATTTTATTCCACATAAATTATACCTCAATAACTGACTAAAATGTGTTTGCACATATATGCTATATGCACACACATATATATATATATAAAATTGCTGGTGTTTGTGTGTCCTCATTATCAGTACCTGGATTCCTGCTGCAAAGCATGTATTTTAAAGTATCTTAAGAAACAAAATGGGATTTCTAAAAATGAGATTGCCAAGTCAAACCATACAATTATATTATAACCTGTGATATAGAAATTATATATTTCAATGAGTCAAATAAACTATTAAGAAGAAAAGCTATCTGTTTAGTATGTAATATAAGAATATTCAAGATGAAATGTTTAAGAAAATGTTAATTTCCAATAGGAAAGAGAAACCAAGAATCATCGTCATACCTTTGGTGTGTCCATACTTCCTTCTGTAATTCACAGATTTAGGGACTCCATCATTGTATATTAGATAGGCTGTGTTGTTACTCTGCAGGAATATATTAGGGTTATAATGGCATAAATCTTCCACTTACAAACTCTCACAACATTTCTACCAGCTACCCAGCCTGTAATACATAGCTTTCATTAATACACTGAGAAGGCATCTATTCCCCTAATAGGCAGCTTCCCTGTCAATATGAAGCCTGTGACATGTAAGACAGGGGAAAGGAAGTTCATTTTTAACTATGCATGATTTTTACTCATGTGACAGGAGCCCTATGCATTGTGATCTGCGTGTGAGGGCAATGTTCCTATTTCTCTTGGTTGTTTTGGAACCAAGTTTCTGATTAAGCAACCAGTGTGTAATAAAGGAGTACTGAATTATTTGTGCAGGAAATGAAGTAGGAACAACCAAGCAAGGATTGCATCTGAGGTTTTTTTCCATTGATATCATAGGCACAGTGCAGAACCGGCTGTCAGGATCTGATTTCCTCTGCCCACTTTGTGCTTCATTTCACTGCTGGGAAGTAGCTTTGTGTTTAATCAGGATTCCTCATTATCGGCTCTCCCTTCCTCTCATTATGGGAGGATTTTTCTGCAATCCATTTTTCTGTGTCACTTCACCTTTCCAACTTGATATTTCCCTGCTTTAAAAAAAGTGGTGAAATTTACTGTGTGATATTGGATTTCCTCTGTTAAGGAAAATATGAGTCAATTTTCAAACAGCCAAATCTTAGAGCCAAATAAAGCTATTATTTCAATAGTCTCTATTTGTCATGTTTTAGAAACTTGCTAATATTTGTTCTGGATGGTTCCATTTAATTTGTGTGATAAAATGGCTTTTATTGAAACCAATAATGTCGATATTAAAAAAAATCTCAGTGACATAATTAAAAGCAGGAAAGGATAACCTATCTCCTTTAAAAAGGCCCTTGCTTTTTTCTTTGAAAACAAAGTCAATAAAGAATTCTCTCATAGTTGCTTAATTATTTGATGTAATATAAAAAAATGTTAAATGCGCAACATAGTCTGTTGTAGCATTCTTGTCTCCTGTGTTTAGGAATACCCTAAAAGGTAAGCTGTTTTCTTACCTTCATTTATCATAATTGATCATAGCTACTGAATGACATCCGTATCATCCTCTGGAGACCCCTGAAGAGTTAGTTACTCTATGAGCCTGCATTGAGTGTGGCAATGAGGACATTTGTGTGCCTTTGGGGTACAACATGGAGGGATTCTGGGATGATCCAGTGAGGAAATTATTCTTTATGATAAATGGAGTTTATTATTCTAACTGTGTGTAACAGCCAGCTGAGGTTAAGTGGGTTGTAGCCTTAGTGAGAAGAGAGGATACTGATAAAGGGAAAAGATCAAGGACTTAAGAATAGGTAGATGTAGGCATGTGCCTTTGAATAGCTTTATCCCTTTAACACATGTTGGTATTGTTTTGACAATTGAGTGTAGAACAAGAAGGGTGCAGTCTCTGCCCCTGTTTAGCAGAAAATATAGAGAGACAGGTATAGGCAATATAGTTTGATAAACGTTTATGAAAGTGCATGGAAGATTCTTATTTGTAAAGGCAAGAGAAGGGAAACAATTCCAAATGTAACCCAACTATTGGACTTGGTCACCTTGACATTTGAGATTTAAAACCAGTTCGTCTAATCTTGCATTTCACTCTCTGTGAGTAGTTCAATTCCAGTCAGGGGGTGGAGGAGTAATATTCTCAGTCAGTTGTGGCACATAATTCTGGCTTCCAAAGAACATTGAGTGTCACTTGGATATCACCCACTGCTGTTGCTCTCTTATTCTGGCTCTAGGCCAGTCAGGCATGGAAATCACTCCCTTTACTGTCATTTCCCCCCAGAACCAATCACTCAAGACATTGCATATGAGCAGGTTTTACTAAAGATAAGAAATATTGAATGGTTTTACATCATCATGATGCCTTACCCCGGTCTCTCTCCATGTTTCTTGTGCTTTTTAATTCATGGTTTCTTTCCATCCCTTTTTTGTTTAGCAGAGAAGTTTAACTGTATCTCCCTGCTAGGGTGTGGGGCTACCTTTGCACCTCCAAAGATCATTATTGTATTCAGCCAAGCAAAGAGCTATCTACTCCAACTAAGGTAAAGACAGAGGCTTTACAATGTCACTCTTTCCTTCTTCCTCCCCTAGCAGTCTCAGCAATGGGGAAGGGAACAGTGCAGATACTAGTCTATTTTATCATTTGCTGCTCTAAAATATACACAAATCTATTATAAAAAGTTAAAATTCATCAAAATTTACATACACAAACACAGACCAAACATGGTGCCATTCAGTCAAGAAATGTAAACATATTTATTAAGTCATAACTGTATTAACTTAACTGTAGTAATATTGTACTAATGTAATAATTTGATAGCCACCTCCCGTCACCATTGAAGTGAGCTTAAGTCTTGTGAATATCTGCTGATAATGCCACATGACACTGACAACCTTCACGTGAGCAGTTCTTCTCTCCAGTAAATTGCATACTGTAGTCAAAAGTGATCTCTCACAGCTCTTGTGTATTTTTCATCATGTTTGGGACAATACCAGAAACCTTGAATAAAACCATAGGACCGATACTGAGTGCCACTACTCATGCTGGAAATGCTTCTAAAAAGCAGACACAAGTCATGACATTACAAGAAGATGTTGAATTGCTTGATATGTACTGTGGATTGAGGTCTGCAGCTTCAGTTGCCTGCCATTTCAAGATAAATGAATTCAGCATAAGGGCCATTGTGAAAAAAGAAAAGGAAATTCATGAAGCCCTCACTGCAGCTATGCCAGCAGGCATGAAAACCTTGCACTTTTTACAAAATATTTTTATGTCTCATATTTAAAATTAAAATGCAGCTTTTATATGGGTGCAGGATTGCTATAAGAAAGGAATACCCTAGACTCTAATATGATTTGAGAAAAAGCAAAGTCACTATATGACAAAGTAAAAGGAAAGCAGAGAATCTAAAGCTAGAGAATTTAATACCAGCAAAGGATGGTTTGATAATTTTAGAAAGAGATTTGGCCTAAGCAAACATCAGGATTTAAGGCAGGAAGGGCTAGGCTAACTCTACTGTTTTGTGCAAATGCAATTGGGTTGACAATGTGGACTGCACCCATCTATAAAGCTGCTAACTCTTGAGCCTTGAAGGAAAAAGATAAGTACCAGCTGCCAGTTGTACAATAAGAAGGCCTGGACAACAAGAACCCTTTGTCTTCATTGGTTTCATTGATGCTTTGTCTCTAAAGTCAGAAGATACCTTGCCTGTAAGAAACTGCCTTTTAAAGTTGTTTTGGTATTGGATAGTGCCACTGGCCACTAAAAATCCCATGAGTTCAACACCAAAGGTGTCAAAGTTGTATACTTGCCCCAAACATGATGCCTCTGATTCAGCCTCTTGATCGGGTTCATAAGAACCTTTAAGGTTCATTACATGTGATGCTCTCTCAAAAGGATTGTCAGTGCTATGGAATACATGATAGAACACATGAAAGGAATACAGCATTGAAGATGCCATTGCTGTTATAGAAAAAGCCATGAAAGCCATCAAGCCCAAAACAATACATTCCTGCTGGAAAAAAACTGCATCCAGATGTTGTGCATGACTTCATAGGATTTATTATAGAGTCAATCAGGAAAGTCATGAAAGAGATAGGTTAGGGGTAATAGGTTTAAAGATATGATTCTTGGAGAAATTCATAAGCAAATAGACACCACACTAGAGAAATTAACAGAACATGACTCAATGGAACCAGAACCAGCTGATGAGGAAGAAGATATAGAAGAGGTGGTGCAAGAACACAAATCAACATGAGACAATTCGTAAAAGCATTCTGATCATTCAGGACTGCTTTTAGGCTGGGTGCAGTGGCTCTTGCCTGTAATCCCAGCACTTTGGGAGCCGAAAGTGAGTGGATTGCTTGAGTCCAGGAGTTCAAGACCAACCTGGGTAACATGGTGAAACCCTGTCTCTACCAACAAAATAAAAATGAAAAATAACTAGGCATGGTGGTGTATGCCTGTAGCCTGGCTACTCCAGAGTCTGAGGTGTCACTTAAGGTTCACCTGAGCCTGGGAGGTCAAGGCAGCAGATAGTTCTGATGGTGCCACTGCTCTCCAGCCTGGGTGTCAAGTGAGACCCAGTATTAAAAGAAAAAAATAAAAAGACTGTTTTGAACTTCTTTTGCAATATGAACCCTTCTGTGATAATGGGCACTGAAACTAAAGCAAATGGTGAAAAAAGGATTACTGCATTATATAAACATTTTTAGAGAAATTAAAAAGCAAATAGAGAAAAGTCATGTACTTTCATATGAAAGTTACACTGAGTGTGTCTGCCTTTCTTGCTTCTCCTTCCTCTTCCTCACCTCTTGCTTCCCCACCTCTTCTGTCTCTGCCACCCCAAGACAGCAAGACCAGCTCCTCCCCTTTTTCCTTCTCCTCAGCCAACTTAACAGGAAGATGACAAGGATGAAGACATTTATGATGATAGCGAAGAGTAAATATATTCTCTCTTCCTTAATGATATTCTTTATAACATTTTCCTTTCTCTAGCTTACTTCATTGTAAGAATACAGTATATAGGGTATATAATATACATAATATATGTTAATCAACTATTGATGTTATCAGTAAGGCATCCAGTCAAACAGTAGGCTATTAGTAGATACATTTTCAGGAAGTCAAAACTTACACAAAATTTCTGACTGCATGAGGGCCGGTCCTCCAACCCCAGCATGGTTCAAGGGTCACCTGTCATTTGTTTATTCAAAGAAGGATTGTTTAGACAGTTTTAAAAAGCATCTAGAAAAGTGCTTGGCACATCACATATTCTCACACAGCCTACAGATAAGTTTTAACTTTGTAACTTGGCTCTGAAGGCTGGTCTTAATGGCAGGTAAATAACATGAATATTACAACACGCAATGACAGTTCCCTGTACATTTGAGTAAATACTCAGATACACACGTGCAGTAATACTAGAGGCTAAAACGGTGTTGTTGTGGGCATTAAATTACTTGACATATGTAAAGGCTCAGCATACAGTCCAGCATATTATAGGAACAGAGTCATGTTATATATTTACTTCTCTATAAGTTACTATTAGGAAATGCATACATGAGTATAATTGGATGTTAATCACGCCTTGATTTTACTTGTCACCCCTGGTTGGAAAGCAGTATTTTGAAACTAAGCAACAGATGGTGCCTGGAATACTGGGAGCATGCCCACATTAAGCCAGCAGGCCTACTTACCTGTGTCTCTTTGACTGGTTAGCTCATTGCCTGATAAAGTCCAGATACAGCAGGGATAATCTAGGCAAGTTAGTTCTAGGGCCTTGAACTAGAGTCCTAGTTTTCAACATATCATTTTGAAAACAATGAATTAAAAGGAAGATCAAGTAGAATCCTTTACTGAGCTCACCACCACTGATCACCGCCATGACATAAACAACCCATAACTCATGGCATGTTAATCACAGATCGGTATTGCCCTGTAGCAGCAGAGGCTCCTCTCCCTATCTCTGTTAGATGAATAAGCAAACTGACAGACATTTTGGGAGCCAGAAGATTTCAATATACAATTAGTTCATACCTTGCCCAGTGATACCGCTGGACTTAGTGTCAAGTAAATTTGGCATTGCTGTAGACTATAATGACATGTTTCCTAAGGTCTTAGATTGACTCAGATAATTGTCTTGAGCTAGTTCTGAGCTAGCTTACTTCAAGGTGCTAGGACTGGGAGTTGGATGAGTGAACAGAAAAACTCTGTTGAAGGCTTTGGATTCAGCTCTATGCATTTTATATTATTCAAGTGAACAATTAACCACATAACATACCTTGGAGGCATTGGCTTCATATAGCTGTTGTAATGTCCTTCCCAAAACACTCTTGGTGGTATTCATTAGTTGCTCACTCTTCCTCCAGCTTCTAGTTGTAGAGTCTAAGTACAGGTACTCTAACCCAGTCTCTTCACTTTCCTTGTTTTGTCTTTTAGGTAACTTATAAAAGGTAAACCTAACAGGCAAAATAATTATGAATTGCTAACATTTATTGACTGCTTTCCTGTGGCAGTAGCTGTGTTACCCACTTGTAGAAATGCCGTCTACATAAGTGCTGCTTAACAAAAGAAACAAAATCACACACAGTGTGAGGCAACATATAAGCAGGTGTACCATAGAGTTTTATCTACTACACTGGCCTATATGGATAATAATTTACAAATGAACCAGTATTAATATGTCCCTTTATGTATACGGAAGTCACTAAACTACAGAACATGTTCATTTGAAGTTTTTTGACATCTCTGTATCATAAAAGCAAACAAACAGCATCAGTTCCTCAGTTCTCTGTGTGACTGATTATATCTCTCACATTTCATGGAAGACCTCTAAGGAAAGGGATTTGCTCAAGTTCTCTGACTCTTTCTTCACCCTTATCTTTGCTCCTCTCCAGAGAAGAAAATAAACATCTGATTGGATATATTCTAAGACCTTAGTTATCCTGGTGGGTGGAGTCCCTGAACTGGAAGTCCATATACATTGAGAGTGGCTTTCTCTGTTTCTTCCATGGTCCATATGGCTACAGTGGGGAGCAGGCCAAGACTCAGACCATGCAGTTGGCCGACTGGGTATGAGATTGGGTTTGGGCTTCAGAAGAGGTAGAAGGTACTTTGAGCCTCTGTTCTAAGCTGCATTCTTCAGCTCAGTTTATCAGAATACTCTTTCTTGGTGATTCAGGGCCAAAACCAAGTAATTAAGTAGGCCCTTTCCTTCCTTTACTATCTGTTTATCTCCCTTGGCTATCTCACAGGGAGGAGAGGTAGCTCCCAAGGTAGTATTAAGGCGTTATTGGATTACCTAGCTCAGGGTTTCTCAATGTGCTTTATTCACATTTTCAGCCAGATCATTCTTTGTTGTGGGAGCTATCTTGTGCGTTGTAGGATCCCTGCCCTCTACCTATCAGATGCCAGATGCACTGCCAAGTTATGACAGTCAAAATTATCTCCAGACATTATTAAAAGCCCTCTGAGGGCAAAATTACCCTTGGTTGAGAACCACCTATCTGGCCAAATGCTTTCTAATAGCATGAACCCCACCATTAACTCCTAAACACTCACAGTGCACCAACCATTATAATATATACACTGTTACTGTACCACAGTGTCACAAGCCTGTAAAAGCTGCACACTCTTCACTTGGTCCCCTTTGGTCTTATACTTTAAGTGAACTCTTTCCTGCTCTGCTATGCTTTCTTACTCACGGAGTCAGGTCCTCACATGTGGCAAGAAACATGAAACTATTCTTTGGTGCTGACTTGATGGTCTCTTTCCTTGCCTTTCTCAATAGATTTTAGCAGCTTGGCAACAAGTGCTTATATTCTCTCTAACAAACATTGCTAAGCAATATGTCCAATCATTTGTGGCAAAAATGATTTACCATATCAATCACAATTTGGTGACCCACCAGTGAAGGGTTTGCGATCTATCAGTGTGCCATGACACACCAGTTGAGAGCTAATACTTTTAAACGTTTTTCCAGGGTGACCACCTCTAATTATGTACTCAAGAGTCATGAGTCTGTTTCTAGCCCAGACCTCTCTGCTGAGGTCCAGAGAAACCCAAACAGAAAGATATCCCAGAAACCTCCAACTCTATATTTTTGAAACCAAGTTTATAACATTTTGCTCCAAATCTGCTCATCCCACACTATTAGGGAACATATTGACACAGTCCAAGAAGCAGAAACCTAAAATTATTTCTTAACATCTTCCCTTCTCCTACCTGCTGCAGCCCATCTATCACCAAGTCTTCTCAGCATGTCCTCCTTCTTTCTATTCCCACAACCACTTCTTTAACTGAGGTGCACACCTCTTCTCACCTGTAATTCTGTGAAATGCTCCTGGGCTCTGTGATTCTAGGCTGCTCCCCATCCAGCCGAGCCTCACAATACTGCCAGTGGGCTTCCTAAAGTGCAAATCTGACCATTCACACCCCTGCTTGAAGTCTTTCAGTAGCTCCCTTTCAACGTCAGGTTCAAACCTTGTAGCTGAGCACACAGGCCCCGTGGCCCTCCCCACCTCTCTAACCTCAACTCTGGTCATCTTCTTGTATTCTCCTGAAGTTCCAGAAATACCAAACTAGTAGCAACTCCCAACTTTCCATGTTGCTTCTTGCCTCTTTACCTCCTCATTCATTGGCCTGAGATACCCTTGCATATCCATTCTTTTTCTAGCTACTTCATAATTGCTCTTAAAACTTACCTCAAAAACTATGTCCTCAGAGAAGCTTTCTAGGCTCTCTGCTCCCCAGTGTTCCAGTTATGCCCTTACCACATAACTGTGAGGTCCTCGAGGGTAGGAACCATATTTTGTCCATATTTTTATTTTCAAAACTCCACACAGAGCTTGGTTGAGCTCAGTAACTGCTGGAAGATGGACTACTTGCATTGAGTATATTAGTGTTCTCTAGCCTGAAGTTTACACAAAAAGCTTGACACCAACCGTAATAGCAAACTTAAATATCCCAATTAAAGAGTGAAAAATAGATTAAAGCTTTAGGAATACCCATGACTATAATGCAACACAGTGTTTAATGTCTTTGACACTGTTCAACAGGCCAGTGACCTACCTCCCACTCACGGCCACAGCTGCCTGTGCTGCCAAACAAAACGAGGTTAGGCAAACAGTGCTGTGTGACCAGGTGCCCTCTCCTTCTCATAAGGAGAAGTGCATGCTCCGTTTTCAGAAAAAAGGAATCTGCCTTCTCTACTCTGTCAGTCTTTAAAAGGATGTTGGATGTGTTCTGTTAGGAAAAGCCATGATGTAATTAAAATAAATTGCCAGCTGACAGAAGCTGTCAGCTCAATCCCATTTCTGTGGCTACCAGCCTTGCCCGGCTGAGAACAGTCAATCAGGCCCAAGAGGGGCTGCTCAGCTCTTTCTCAGGGGGAAACTCCCTCATTCAGAAGCCTACCCCTGCCTGGGAGTTTGGCCCATTTGCACACTTTAACTTCCTTTATTTGTAAAGGGAGGAAAGAGAATGGACATTCCCCTTAAGAACTTCGCAGTGAGCCAGCCTGACTCCCACACTGAGGCTGTTTGCATGCAGCAATCCTTTCATTTCATTTACCTACCAGTCCACAGCTTTCCCTTCTTCATTTCTGCATGAAATTGTTGCTGTCCCCAGCACCCCAAAGAGGCCAAGAAAGAGCAAAACAAAAGATGTTCTTAGAAGTCTTGCCATCATTTTCTGTTTCATTTTTTTCATGCCACAACAGAACACTTTCTCCATAGATTGTGGAATCTGAGTTTCAAGGTGCTCTCAGGCTATGCTGGCTCTGACGTTTGATTCCATTTACCTGTTCTGTTCGCTATTTGGGCATTTTCAGAATGAGATGGATCCCATGTAATTGTGCTATTCTGTCACAACATGCCAGCGTGACTCCGGATGCCTCTGTGCTGAATCATTAAATGCTTTGCAAAGTCATCAGAAAGTTCTGCAGAAAAAAAGAGAAATATAGTTAACTCTTTGGAGTGAACATTGTGTTGTATAAAATTCAGTGGGCAGGGGAACTTCATTTTAATAAATAGATGTTAAATTAAACATATTTCATGTCTTCCCCTCCTGATTGACTCAATGAATGAGAGCAAATGCAGGTGGTTCATATGTTAAACAGAAATGATAAAACCATAATAATTAGGATCTGAAACTTACAATACATTTCTCTCTTAAGGAACCATTTGCTAAGCAATACTTTAGAGGGTTTCTACAAAGTAACAGTAAATTTAACTGTATTTTACCAAAGATGTTTACATATTCTCTCTACCTCCCTGGTTTTAGCCACTTAGTGTGCTTTACTTTAAGAGGCCTTGGTGTCCACTTAGCAGCGATGCAATAGGTAAACATATTGATCACCCACTCTTCAGGTTAATAAAAAGTGTTACAAACATCTATTTTGCCCAAACTATGCTTTCTCATTCTTGAAGCTGAATCTGAAGTGGAAAACCAAGAGAAAATGGCCAACTACCATAACAACTATAAAAAGGTCAGACCAATTTCTTTGTAAAGTGGGGAAGGAGTATATAGACATATGAAAATAATTTATTTAATGCCTACTTTTGAATCAATTATTAAAATTGCTATTATAATCAATAGCAGTTTACCTTGTGCCTAGAAATAATGCTGCCCCTAATCTGTCTCTCTGATAATCACAATGATAACTATAATAGTTCCAGATCGGAGGATCCAGACCAGACTGAACCCTTGTAAATCAGATTACCTGTATGGTTGCAGTAGAACTGTTCACAATTCTCAGGATTCATAGAAAAGGGGAGGGCTTGTGTCTCTATTTCTCCTAAGACAGAGTTTTGGGAGGAGGGCTCTGGACCACTTGCCCGATTACCTGTGGTGCCTGCAAAAAAAGGCAGAATTCCAGGCCTTATTGCAAACCTCCTACATCAGATTCTTCCAACTGGACTCAGGAATCTATATTTTTAATAAGCTTATGGATGATGCTGGTGTACCCTACATTTTGAAACTCACTGCCATGAGGCCAAGACCATGCTGTATTTGGCAGGTTCACAGTTTTCTGCAGGGAGCAGACTAAATTGGTTAAACGAAGAAATACTTTCCTCACCCATTCCTCGATGGATATTATTATTATTTTTTTTGAGACGAAGTTTCACTCTTATAACCCAGGCTGGAGTATACTCATCTTGGCCTTGGCATCCATCCACCTTGGCCTTCCAAAGTGCTGGGATTACAGACATGAGCAACTGCACCTGGCCTCATTTTGTTTCATATATTTTCTTCTTGTGTTAAGAAAAAAAGGATTTCAACAACCCCAACAGTTTTGTCAATTTTTAAAAAATTACTAGCTGGATATAGTGGCTTATGCCTGTAATCCCAACACTTTGGCATGCCAAGGCAGGAGGATTGCTTGAGCCCAGGAGTTCATGACCAGCCTGGGCAACATAGAAGGACCTTATCTCTCTACATACAATTAAAAAGAAATTAGCCGGGCATGGTGATGCACACTTGTAGTCCCAGCTACTCAGAAGCCTGAGGTGGGAGGATTGCTTGAACCCAGGAAGTGGCAGCTGAGCCATGATGCTGCCACTGCACTTCAGCCTGGGTGATAGAGCAAGAATGTCTCAAAAAATATGTGTGCGTGTGTGTGTGTGTGTGTGTACAGAGAGGGAGAGAGAGAGAGAGAGGGAAAGAGAGAGAGAGAGGAGAGAGAGAGATTTACTCTTCTCTGTTAAAGTAAAAATAGGAGTTGGAGTCTCACTCTGTCACCTAGGCTGGAATGCAGTGGCATGATCTCAGCTCATTGCAACCTCTGCCTCCCACGTTCAAGCAATTCCCAAGTAGCTGGGATTCCAGCTTTCCACCACCATGCCAGGCTAATTTTTGTATTTGTAGTAGGATGGGGTTTCGCCATATTGACCAGATTGGTCTCAAACTCCTGACCTCAGATAATCTGCCTGCCTCAGCTTCTCAAAGTGCTGGGATTACAGATGTGAGACACTGCACCTGGCCAAAATAATTTTATTTATTTACTTATTTATTTATCTTGTGAGACTTTTTGGTATTATAGCTAATAACAGATACATACCAGGAATAGGATTCACTGATGTATTTAGAGAATGTAAGCAGCTTGTTTTCAGTCATGTAGGGCTAAAGACAGTTTGTTGAATAGGATTTAAAATAATTCCTGTTTTCTTCTCCTTATTACACACTTAGCACAGTGCCTGGTAATAGTAAATGGTTCATAAATGTTAGCTAAGATGATTCTTATTACAACCTGAACTTTTCCTCTAAGGTAGTTGGGGGACATCTGTATTAGAATGATATTTGCTAAATCCAATTTTATTTCAAGGTCTGGAAAGACATCGTTAAGTTGGTTTCTTTCAGATGTCACTTTCAATAAACTTCCTTATCTCCCATTGTTGCTAACCTGATCATGCTGATTGTCAGTCAACAACCTTTCTTATACAATTACTACTGTGTCTAACATTGTACTGGACTTTGAAGATCCTCGGGGATTTCAACATTACCTAAACCCAGAGTCCAGTGTGTTTCAGTTTTTACCAAAAACAGCAAAGTAATTTGGAAAGAAACCTATGTATTTGGTGGATGAAAAAAATGTAAACTGTACAGAATGTTTTTCATAATATTATCTGCTTTTGAAGCCAAAGTAGTATAATATTATGTAAATACCATAGTTCCTTCATAATCTGATTGCCTCTAAAAGCAGTGGAAAATGCCCTCATTGTAACTTGGTCAAGTACTATATAGTGTACAAGTAAGAATTCTTAGCTAGGTAATGGCTTTTAACTTCATGATTGAAGTTTTGTAGTCACCCATTTATTCTGGAAAATCTCAATCTTGAGCTCGTCAAATAGTGCCTCTTCCACGTTCTTTTTATTATGTATTTTGAGAACATTTTATGTCTTGTTCATATATTCTAGCTCCTTGAATGTCTGCATTAATTCTTATGATTATTTATTTGGACTGTCTTCCAGTTCTCTAATTCTCTTTGCAGCATTAATCTGTTACTTAATCTATCTCTTCCAAATAAGTAATTCCTTTAAAAAATATTTTTTTATCTTTATTTTTATTTATACATTGACAAATTATACTTATATATATTTTACTTCTTTTTGAGTTATGTTTAATATGTTTCTTAATTCACTTATTAATGCATTTTTACAAGTTCTATTGTTTATTTTTTCAAATTTACTTTGTCTTTCTTATGGTTTCGTTTCTTGTTCCCAATCTTCTCTTCCATTTCTGTAAAAATATTAAATATATTAAATATATATTAAATAAACAAATATATTAAATAAATACATAAATATTAAATATATTATATTTTTATATCTTATTCAAATGTCCAAAGTCTTTGCAGATCAGGCTTTTCTATTTGTTATTTCTGAAGCTCTTTCTCATAATACCTTGGTATTGTGTGTACTTAAGATTTTTGGCCATGAGTTCACATTCTGTTAGTATTTTGGGGGATTGAGATAAAGTTGTGTTTTTCAAGAACCTGTTCTCTACTGGTTCATCAAAGTTCAGTCATTCTGTGAGGACTCCTGGGAGTCAGGATGCTAGCTTTATTTATTTCCAATAGCTTTTTGAAGTATTATTTACATACCATAAAATTTACATGTTAAAGTTCAGCTTATTTTTGCTCAGATTTTTACAGGACTGTTGATGGATTGAGTAAAATCTAGAAATTGACATACTGAAGGAAAAAGTTGATATACTTGCTGTGGGAAGATGGGGAAAGGACTTGAATTATTTTGATGAAAAAGAGTAAGACAAGCAAATGACTCCAGTATTTATAGACTAAAGAATCATTGCTGAGAAATGTGGTTAAAGGAAAACATAAATACAATAAGTGGAAGAGGACGAGAAAATTGTTTGGTTAATTCCTACTCATCCATTAGGTTGCTTTGAGGATGCCAGTTCTTCCTGGAAGCCAACCTTGATCTCTCCCAATCTGGCTTAGATGTCCCTGCAATATATTCCCAGAGCTGACTATATTTTCTCAATTAGAGTAATTACGTGATGTGTTACTAATTACTTGCTTATCTTTCTGAGTCTTCCTCTAAAGAGCAGGGTTGGAAAACTCCTGTGGGCCAAATCTGCCTATATTTGTAAAGTTTTATTTGAATACATCCACACTCATTCATTTATGTATTACTTATAGATGCTTTTATGCACAATGGCAGAGTTTAGTTGCAACAGAGACCCCACAGCCTAAAAAGCATACGAATTAACTTCTTGATTCTTACAGAAGTTTGTTCTAGTCTATGAAGCCAGAACAGTGCCTGCCTTGTTTATACTGTTGCATCTCCAGCACATACCACAGTGCTTGTCACCTGGAAGGAGCTAAATAAATACAAGTGAATATATAGATTGAATGAAGTGTTGTATGAAAGGAGAGAAGGTTAGATTGAATGAAAAAGTTTTCAGATCCTGCTGTGAGTGAGTCAGAGGAAAAAAACAAGAAAAAGTTTTCAGAGACATCAATTTTGGGGTTATATGGAAGTCAGAATGAATTTAATCAGAAAATATGTAAAAGTGGGTATGCAGTAGGTAAAAATCCCATTAGAAATAATTTTATCATGATGTTTATAAGTCAGAGAGGCAGCTAAAGCATAGTAGGAAGAATCAGACCAGACCTGGGGTCCACAGCTGGCTCTGCCTCTCACTTGCCATGTGGTTTCCATCAAATGATCAACATCAACCATACTGAGCTTCACCTTCCTTTTCTTTTCTTTTCTGTTTTTTTTTTTTTTGAGATGGAGTCTCTCTCTGTGGCTTAGGCTGGAGTGCAGTGGTGTGATCTTGGCTCACTGCAACTTCAGCTTCCTTTTCTAAGGGTGGGGCATGTGATTTCTACCTTCATAGAGTTCTCTCAGGATTCAGTGAGACACTATGTGCACAGCCCCTGTCATAACTGAGTCTCATAAATGTTGGTGCCTTCTCACCTTGTCTCCTTTTCTTCCATGACAAAGTAACTTTCTTTTCCTTGCAGTAGACTGAACTCAGTCCTTTGGTGAGGTTTTAAATGGCCCCAAGCCCACGTTATTTGTGTTTTCAACGCTCTTTATCAGATAAAAGTTTGTGTTCCACTCAAATGAGTGCCATGTTGTTGAAGGCATGAAGCCAAACTTCCATCTTGCCCCCAGGGGCAACCACTCTAAGATTTTCCTCCTGTTTCCAGCTTAAAACTTCCCACTGTAAACACAGAATTAATGTGAGTTTGGAATCCTCTGTAATTTAAAAAAAAAGTGACTGAAGTGCTAGAAAAAGGGATGGTTTGGGCTGGGGCAGCTTTCAGTGTGTGGTAAGTTTTGTCTAGCATAGTGTCTTTTCCATCTCAGCAGGACTTTTTCTACTGTATCAGTCTGCCTGTCATCTGTATGACTTTGGGTAGCTTACTTAACATCTCTAGGCTAGTGTTTTTGTTCTTTTGGGTTTTTTTTTTTTTTTGGAGATGGAGTCTTGCTCTGTTGGCCAGGCTGGAGTGCAATGGCGCAATCTCAGCTCACTGCAACCTCCGCCTCCTGGTTCAAGTGATTCTCCTGCCTGAGACTCCCGAGTAGCTGTGATTACAAGCGTGAGACTGGGATTACACCATGCCCGGCCTCTCTGGGCTGGTTTATTTTCAAATAGATTCTCTCTACCAAATCACAGGGTTTGTGAAGAATAGACAAGATAATATGGATCCCAGAGGTTGGAAATTTTAAAAATGATAAAGTGGTATATAAATGCATGGCCAATTCCCTTCTTTGTTGGAATCAGAATAAACGCTTCCTTTATTTCCCTAATGAATGAAGGGGCCAGCCATCAAAGTGGGTGTAGTGCGCATGATGTAGTGGGAAAGAGCATGTCATC